GTATTTAAACCCTGCTTTTCTAGTGCAAAAACTGCCAACATTTGGTTTTTAAGAGCAGGGACAGTCGGTGAGCAGAGCGTTGCAATAGCCAAAGCTGCAACCATACTGCCATACTGTCGTGATAAACGAAGGAGCTTCCAATACAAATACACTTGAAAAAAGGTTTACAAATACAATAAAATCTGCCTGCAGTGGGCACTGGACTGCAAACAGATGAATGAGAACTTTATATCAAACGGTAACAGGCCGCCTTCGTCGCCTCCACGCTTCTCACTCAGCTGATACCCCCCAAAGTGATCACATCCAAAACTCTGATTCTGAACTTCAGACTCGAGACGGGACAACTGTTTGAAATGTTGAGAGAATAAATGGAAACAACACAAAAAAGGGAGATGGGGGGGTGGGAGGGAAAAGGATGAAGTCTCTGAAACAGGCGTCTTTCTTTCTGGCTGCACTGACGGCGACAGGACAGCACAATTAACTTCAGTCAATTCATCGATTTTCCTTGTTTTGTAACAGGAATTCCACCTGAACGCAATCGACCCACTGAGAAAGCGTTTGTGGGACAGAATTAGATGTGCCTGGCTGACGCGGGTGGCTGTGAGGATGGAGGCAGCAGCAGCAGCAGGTGTGGTTGCCGCGTGGCGAGCGTGTTCAGCGTGGGCTTTAAGAGAAGCAAAGAGAGTTCGTCGGCGGGTCTAGTAGAGGAGTATGCGGCGTTCGATGGCCTTGCGGCAGATGGGACACTCGCTCATTCGATCCCCGCACAGCTGGCAGGTTCCGTGGCCGCACATGAAGATCATGTTCTTCAGCCGGTCCAGGCACACCGGACACATGGTCTGCACACAAGTAAGCAACAGTCGTAGTAAAACCCTTTCCACATTTAACATGTCAGTATTACTACCGAGCCGAGCCCTGCACAATAACTTTATGGTGCCGGCGTGCATTTGATCCCTAAGAATTTTACAGCAATGGTTATTGTTTTGCAGTTCAACTGCATTTTATTCTTCCGCTTTAGTTCACGAGCCACACCTGGTTAGTGACCTTACCTGTTCCTTGATGTCTTGGAGCTGTTGTTGTAGCTTCTGCACGTCAGCGTTGACGTTGGTGTTCGCCTTGTCTTTCTGCAGGGCTGGGATGTTTCCGCTGGCTGTTTGGACATAAAAAAAAAAAGAAAAAAAAAAAGACGCAAACAGATGGTGAGAATAAAACAAACTGCACTTATCAGCCAAAAGATTAGCACCAGTGGCAATACCTCAGATTTGACCTCTTAAACTATAAACTATATTGCCAATAAAAGTGAGTGCAGCCACAACAACATTACCGCTCTGAAACGAGCCGGGTGCTCGAGTACATTTTAAAACATGGGTTTTGGAAAATGGAGAAGGATCACAAACACATGCGCGCTGAAGTTTACTGTTGGCAAACGAGCTCGGGCTCTGGCAGTCCGCGCTAACTTGCTTTTACATTTGATTTCTGAAAAGCACACTTTGCAATTATCTGGAATATAAACTGGCACGGGACAAATGATCATGCAGCGCTCGCTTGCTCGCTCGTATATAATGAAACGTGTGTGAAACTTCCTGAACGGATTATTTAAGTGCTCGACACAAATTTTCTGGACTGATGCCCTCCTGAGACTTATTCTCGCTGTCCAAACATCTGCCAGAACACGGCGAGCACCAGTGTGACTCCTGGGATGTGCATCGTACGTATATATATCATCACACTGAAAGAGAAACGGAGGAAAGGGGGTTAAGGGGAGGGGGAGAGGGGCCAGGGCAGCACCTTCGGGTGGGGGGTGTAGGTTTGCAGGAGGTTCTCTATAAACAAGGCTCTCGTAAGGGAGGGGATCATGGAGGTATACTTACACCAACTTAATGCCAGATTGTTGGGCTGGAGAAGATCCTGGGATCCCCCTGCCATACTGTTAGAGCTCCCTGCTGGGAATAACCAGTCACATTGTTATAGCAGGAGCTGCCCTCACCAGCTCAGCGGCTGGCCTGATGACCAAGACTACTCACTATAGCCTCTATGAGAGGTTCAGAGAAAGAATCTGAGAAGCAAAACTAGCAAGTTGGAAACAGTGATCAGGGAAAGAACGGGAAACAGAGTTACTTCTACTGGTTGCTTAAAGTCGCACGTGTTTTTTCCCCTTTTTTGCTTACAGGTGACTATTGCCTGGGTTAGAGGTACAACATGAAACCCATGCACCAAATTAAAGAAGAACGGCGTCAAAATGCTTCAAGTGCCAGGTATATTTTGCACACTAGATTTGCTTTTAAAACAGGAAGCAACAAGCAGGGTTACTGGGGAAAGGGGGAAAATAAAAGCATTCAATGCTGCCCCTTGCATGAGTGTATGTGTCACTGCTTGGGTCTGCATTCACTTTTGCACGTCTGGTAAGTACGACTTGCTGACAAATGGAGAAATTAAAAAAAATAAGATGTATGTGTGTAAACATGAAAGTTGCGTACTTGCTACAGTGCCACTGTTAAACTCAAATTAAAACAAAAACAGAAGAAATCACTAGTAATATGCACCGCAGAACAGAAAGATGAATCGTGAATGCAACCAAAAATAAAATAACTTGTGCATCTTGTCATCACAATATTTTAGGTAAAATAAATCGAAACTGGCTCTTTTGCAGCTGGAAAAATGTTTTTGAAAACACCGCACAGTTTCATAACTGCTCCATATTTCTTTTCAGAAATGGGGGAGATCTTATAATGTGGATTCATGTGGGTATTATATGCATGCATCATAGGAGGAGCTGCAGGTCATTTCTGCGATATGCTTACAAATGAGTTCATCCATTCTATGTGAATGTGATTAGTCAAACTTTTGGAGGCCAAAGGAACATTAATAAGGTTATCTGTGTGCTCTGACATTATTACGTTATTCAGTAAAAGTCAATCTGGAGATGGCTTCTAGGGTTCTACATTAAAAGATTGGGATTTGAAACAAAATCTTCTCTGCTCTGAAGATCTGTGTGCTGATTTCAGACATGGCAGTGAGGCTGCCGTCCACTCGAGCTAAACTCTAAGTGGAGGCTACTACAAATGGTGCGAGCCAAATGGTTCTAATGATTACATTATGACAGATTTAGATGTAGAATTCAGTTTGGAAAGCAAGCGTAACAATTTTATTTATATATATATATTTTTTTTAAATGAGTCTCTATGGATGAAAAAATACAAAGAAAACATGACAGTGATGATCATTCCACCTCAAATCATAACATATTTATAACTTTTTCTGCTCAGCCACCTCTGATTTGCCTTAATGTGCCTTGATTGAACTCTGGATATATATGATGATGATTTTGGATCGTTTGTTTGTTTTTGTGGTACAGTACATCATATTTGCTGACTCGTGCAAGAAAACTGAATGACAACAACACTTTTCTTAATTTTTTGCATGTGTGGTTTTGCATTAACACGACATGCAGGTACATTGTATTGTATTATTTCTGCACTATCAATATTTTTCTTAAAGTGTGCACAAACATGGAAGTTTGTAGGACAGCTTTAATCTTTTTTTGCCATATTTTATGCTGAAAAATTCTGAACATTTCTTGATGCAAATTACACATTTTATTGTATATATAATTTTTATGGTAAGAAATGGTGGTGAGATTTTCATTTGTAATATATCTTAAAACGTATTTGATATATGTAGCAAAAATTTCCCAGCAATCATTATATATGTCCAGACTTTGGACCATAAACTTTTTAGGCGATTCAGGGATGCTCGAGCAGAACGGCCACGATGATTTGAGATATAATGACGCAAACATAAACAAACTGCAAAAGCTAAGCAGCAACAAAGCAAAAGATAAAAGTAAAGCAGATTATTTGGAAAAAGTAAAGAAATGAGAAAAGAAAAAGAAAAATCTTTGAAGAAAGGGGGTGGATTAAAAGGAAACGTGTGGAAAATTCACTCACTAAGGTCATCATCATCATCATCATCATCATCATCATCATCAGCGGCATCATCCTCCATACCTTTCCCTCCACAGCAAAGTACGAAGGGGGTGCGGCGTTCCACCACAGCCCGGCACTGTACGCACTTCTTCATGAGGCTGGCACAGTCTGGAGGAAAGATGAAGAAGATCATCAGTGCAAGAAAAAAAAAATCTATATTCGCTTTAATACTCACACAGAAGCCAAAAGAGGCAAAATGATGCTGAAAGGTGAAGTTAACTTACTCTCACAAGCGCACATGTGGCCACAGGGCTGGAATAACACCGCTGCCTTTTTATCGGAGCAGACTACACACTCCTCGATCTGTGGACGGACAAACACAAGAATTAAAAAAATTAAATAATCCTCACTCCTGTCTGTGTCAAGTAGCGGCTGTGCTTCTTGATACCTTAGTTCTCGACTGCACTTGTTCTTTGCAGATGAGACACTTCTTGACACGAGGCGAGCAGAGGGAGCAGGTGGCGATGTGTCCGCAGGGCCCAAAAAGAGTGTCTCTCTTCATGTCCGAACACACCATACACTCCTCCAGTGACTCGATGTTGCTGTTCAGAGACGGGCTGCGGGTGCCCACCTGGCCGCTGGAACAGAAGAGAGTGTGTGAGCGAGAGAGAGAAACGATTACAAGCGAGAGGCCGGAGAAAACGAAAGATGAGGAAATGAAATAAAAAGAACAAAATAGAACATGACTGTACCAAAATGTTATCTCTTCCTTTATATCTTTAACCCTTTAGTGCATACCTAGAATTAATGCCATTCAATGTGTCCCAGACCGCTGCTTCCTTTCACTAATGGGTTTACAGATATCATGTAAAAAGCACATACAACAACAAAAACATTATAGCCCAGACACAGACGCGCTACGGATCTGATCAGCTGTTCGCAGCACTTCCTACGTTGGAATATACGTCATCACGTTGTCAGCATGTATTTTGACATGTTTTTATGTTCAGCAACTGATGTCATCTTCCCGGGAATTGTAGTGTTTTCCCCTCCTCCAAGGCCTATCACAGCTCCTCGGGTGCTATTGAAAGGAGATGTCTGACTCTGTGCCTCTCTAATTACAAGTTCCTGGGATACTTAGAACTCTGATTGTGCTATTGGAAATACTTAATTCTTTTTGCTAAATATGCATTTGATTTTTTTTCCCCTCTCTCCACAGTTTATAAAAAATGATTGCATCTGAGGTTTTAAAAAAAACTCAATGAAAGCACCAGAATTTCAAGTTTTTTTCCTGTCCCCTATGCTCCACACGTCTGCTCAGTCTCATGATATTCAGTTTGGTAATTTTTGTGTAATCTTGTTGATGGACGAAAAGGCATCATAAGCATGCTAACTTTCCAGCTTTAAGGTTGGTTGTGTGTTGAATTCCTGAGACTCCATGAAGCAGCTAGCCAAGGAACAGCCTGGCACATAATGTTCTGTGAAACCGTTTCACCTAAGCTTTTATGCAGATTGTCCACACTTGTTTTTTTATGCTGAGCTCGGCCCGGCACCTCCTAGCTTCAGCTTCATATTCACTGTTTAGTCATGAGTGGCATCGATCTTCACATCCAATTCGGCAAAATGTCAGATGAGAACATTTACCTGCTCTTTTCTTTGTGGCATTTGGCCAAAGCCTTGCAGAGGCTGGGGTCCGGACACAGGTCTAGAGGGGACTGGCCCTTTTTGTTACGAATGGTCAAGTCTGCTCCATTAGCTGCCAGGAAGCAGGCGATGGATGCTGCGCTCTTCTTCTCTGCCCCCTGGGTGCCCAAGCCCATGATTAACTGCAGAGAACAAGAAAGAAGCAGGAAAACACATAAAGTTAGAGATGCACCAGGGTTTTTTTTTTGACATGACAGATTATTTTAAAGTTGAACCTGGGGAAAGGGGAGGTCTGTGATGTGCCTCTACCTCACACACAGTGGAACTTGAACCAGTAATGTAGTTAGGAGTACAGTTTTTTTATTTTATCAATGTCTTCAGATTTAAACTCATGTTAAAATACATACGGGGTCACTTTGAATAACACGATCAGAAAAACATCTTAAGATGACTGTCAGAAAATATATTCTTCTAACCCCGAACCCAAAATCCCATTAACTGTAACATCTGTCTCCCTCCCATAGCTCATCGCCACACTCAGTCTACCCCAATTCAAAGTCTCTCCTGCAATTTAGAACTTCCATGTCTGATTGTCTCCAACCAGTAGCTTTTACATCTCATGCTGATGGAGCCATCGGGCCGGCTAATTCAATTCTCGTTTTGATGGGAGGGGAGAGCCATGGGAGAGTGACCCAACTGCACACATCTCAATTAGGCCTGCTGTCTGTCGGTTCCGCTCCTCCGCGGGGGGAACCAGAGAGGGCAGGAAGCGGGACAGAAGAGAGGTGGTGGAGAAAGAGAAGAAAATGGAGTGGAAGGGAGACAGAAGGTGACAGGTACGGAAAATCTGTCACAGAAGCCATGCATTAAACTTCTCCCCATAGGGCTTAGTGATGTGGTGTTAACATGGAGACAGTTGAGGCCTGACATGGCCCTTTTGGCCTCTACAGAGGGACAGACTCGTTCAGGATGGGTAAAAGGGAGCAGCAAGCCAGCTGACTGTTGGCTGCTGAGCGGATGATGGGCTGGTGCAGTTATCCAGTGATGCTGGTGATGGAGACTGGAGCGCTTTCATTTTTCACATATTGGAGAGTGGCCCACGTGCTGATCTTATTAAAGGTGTGTATACAGGTCTTGAAGAGCACTGGGACAACTTCCAAGTTTTCCAAGAATGCAAATGCTAAAAGCTATAACAAGAATCTACACTCAGTCACCTGAGAGGAAAGAGGAAAATATGGAGAACTACACTATAATGCCAGACGTATTCACTCCATCCAAATCATTGAATTTAGGTGTTCCAATCACTTCTGTAGTCACAGGTAGTGCTGGGCGATATGGAAAAAATATTTATCATGATATGAATTATTTTATATCACGATAACGATATATATCACGATATACCACCTGACCTGTGGTCATCTGGAAAGTACGCAGTCTGTAAACAGCGAGCGCAGAGGGTGCAGTCTTTGTTAATGAAATGGATGGTTACGCTCATGTAGGGCTGCGTATCTCTGCTCGTCCATAGGTCAGTCATCAAGGCATAATGCACGACACTGCAAACATCCTTCTCTACTTTGGCCCGGCATGCGTCATATAAGCGAGGCAACTCGACTTTACTGAAGTGCTTACGTACCTCGGATGAAGGACTTTGACAAGGTCACGAAAGCTGTCCTTCTCAACTACGTAAACAGGGGCCATGCCTTTACAAATGTAATGTGAGATGGCTCCTGTGATTTGTTTATGGTGCTGGGACGTTTTCTCATAAGGGCCTTTCTGGAATATTATGTTTTTGTTGCTGCAAGTGCTTTTTATGCAGTTTTTGCAAAGCTATATGTGGAAGGAAACCGTGACCTAGGACAAGCTGATGGCATAAGATGTAAGTACAACTCCTCCGGTTTCATATGCAAAAAAATTATTGCGCTAGCTTACGTGGTTCCAGTTCTACAGGGATTAAAAAATAGTTAGGCAAAACAGAGCGTGCCCGCTCCGACCAGTTTTGAGGGGTTAATGATATATTTTATGTAATAATTTATAAAATTAGGTTAGAAACAATAGAAACGATAGAAGACAAATGGCACAATAGACACTTTTCTATCGTCCACATGATATATATATATATATATCGTCATATCGCCCAGCACTAGTCACAGGTGCATAAAATCAAGCACCTAGGCATGCAGACTGCTTCAACAAACATTTGGAACAGAATGGGTCACTCTCAACAGTCCCACCATGGGACTGTGATAGCATGCCACTTGTTCAACAAATCTACTTGTAAGATGTTCTCACTGCTAAATATTCCAGTCAGTGGTAGTGGATCTATAACAAAGTAAAAGTGACTGGGAATGACAGAAACTCAGCCATAAAGTGGTAGGTCGTGTATTTCTGGAGGATTATTGTGTGGAGCTGTTTTTCAGGAGTTGGGCTTGGCCCCTTAGTTCCAGGGAAAGGAACTCTTAATGCTTCAGCATACCAAGATATTTTGGACAATTACGTGTTCCCAACTTTGTGGGAGCAGTTTAGGGATGCCACTTTCTGTTCCAACATGACCACACACCGATACACAAAGCAAGGTCCATAAAGATATGAATCAACGAGTTTGGTGTGGACGCACTTGACTAGCCCGCACAGAGTCCTGACCACAAGCCGACAGAATACCTTTGGGGTGAATTAGAGCGGAGACTGTGAGTCAGGCCTTCCCGTTCAACATCAGTGTCTGACCTTACAAATGTGCTTCTGGAATAATGGTCAAAAATTCCCATAAACACAACCCTAAACTCCTAAACTGTTACAGCTGCAAAGGGTGGGCGGACATCATATGTGGACTAAGAATGGGATGCCACTTAAGTTCATATGCGTGTGAAGCCAGACGAGCGAATACTTTTGGCAGCATAGTGTAAGCTGCATATGTTACAGAGTCACTAGTAGCAGAAAAACAGTGGCTGGTGACCAAACTCGTTAACGAGCCATATTACTGTGCACTGCCTTCCTGGCTTAATATATTTGGGAATGTCTAAATGAATCAGAACATCAGAACAGAATCATATAATAAGATGGCATTCCTAAAATTACTAAGTCAGCCTTTACTGCAGTATGCCAGCATTGTTCATTATTACTGAGCTACAGTAAAAAATTCTAAAAACCTAAAGTTGTATATCAGTAAACACAGATACACAGAAACAAACATTTGTTTTATTTTTATGTATGGCCACCTCCTTAAGAATCCCTGACACACGTAAAATGTGATATAGGATGAACAGCGAGGTTAATAATAGATGCACATGTACCGTGTTCTTGGAAGGTTCCCAGGGCTCCACTTTGCTGACATCTTGCATATCTTGGAGCTGCCGCAATTGGGACAGCGTGTGGTGACGCAGTGCCTCGTGAAGCGGCGTGTCCCCATCCTTGTCCTGCACGTCGAGCTTGGCCTCTGCCCGCACCAGCAACTGTTAAAGAGAAACACATAAACAAAGAGTTGCACAAGCCGACAGCGGAGGGAAACTCGCAGCCGCCGTGAAACAACTTTAATTTAATGCTACAATGCAAATGCCACATCTTGATTTATAAGGTTGCCGGCTGCTCACAATGAACTGCTTCAGCATTGTGCTACCCAATTATAGAGTGCATTTTTTTGTGAGTCCACAAGGTGGCAACGTGGCAATCTCAATCCGATGCTACGCTAACACACTCTAACCAGCCTTAGAGAGCCTTTTTCCCTCCCCTCTGAAGCAGGACTTTGTTCAACTGCAGGACATCCAACCGTATAAATTAAATGTGGAGCTGCACCAATGTTTTTCTACTCCCCTTTGTGCACAGTGTAAAAAGACCGACTGAGAGATGACTAAAGACACAATGCTCACTAAGTAAGGCAAGAAAGAGAGGGAGAACAAATGAGAAAAAGAGGAACCACTAACCCGAACTATCTGGGTGTGCTGGCGCTCCACTGCCAAGTGTAATGCAGTCTGCTGGTTGACATTCTGAATGTCTAAGCTGGCGTTGCCCTGGGTGGTGGGAACAAGAGGGAAGCAAAAAAGCTTAATATACACAAGGGCAACAAACATGTTGTGCACACAGAGATGATAGACAAGTAATGAAATAAGAGAAATAAAAACAGGAAAAAAGAAAACATTTTATATTTAATTCCTTTGCACTTGAAAGACTGCAGCATTTTTATTTGCCGTGACAGAACGTTGTTTCCTTTAGCCCTGCCGACCAACAAAGTATCACCCGGGAAGCTGGTGGGGGGAGAGAGGAAAAAAAAGGCATCCTACAATAACGCTGCATGTGATTGTCATTTCCAATTGCAAACACCTCAGCTGAGGAGATGTGGAGGGAAGATAAGTATTGTGATCAGGCAGCGTGTGAAATCCCAAAGTAATAAGACTGGCTGACTGGCTGGCTTGCTGGCTGGCTGGGAAACTGCAGTGCACCTTGTACTGTGGTGCAGTTTTTGAATAGAAAGCTGAGCCATCACTGCGAACAAGCCCAATGCAGGAACTTGGGGAGGAAAAAGCTGTCCCTGCTGAAAGGTAGCTTGCACTGCGAACACTGATGCACTGGAATGTTGCAGCAATGTTACTGCCTTGCACCATATCCTCATTAACCCAGTTCCTGCTTGATCAGGTGACTTTTGCTGTAAACCCGTGTGCGAGTTAGTCTCCAAGGAGCTAAACCTGCAATCTCGGTGAGGAAAAGAAAAAAAAGAAAAGAGCATGAACTTATGATTGCAGGAGGAGGAGGATATGATGGCCCAGCAGCACTAAAGAATACTCCTGGAGGACCAGCGAAGTGTATGGATTCAATAAAAAAAGAAAAAAAGAGGCATGTATAGGAGCTTCAACTGGTCTACAGCTTGCAGGCTGCAGGGGAGTGCAGTGAAAGCTGCTTTAATGGTCTGTAGGCAGGTAAAGCTAAGAGTGCAGGTTGCTTCAATGCTTTGGGATAATTGTGAAATGTAAATTTTTTGTATTATGCTTTACACAGATGACTGTTTAAATGCGTTTTTCATTCACACGTCTCACAAGGGTCTGACAAAACAGAAATCCCCATGCCGTAGACTGCATTTCAGCGGTCTACGGAGGCAGGATAGATTCAAGATTCAAATCTACTTTCTGAAATTTTCATGGAACTACAGCATTGGCGTCAAACACTCCCCAACATCTGGGTATCTAGGTAGATACACAGGGAGCATGCTTCTGCTGCGCTTTTAAAGTGATAATGGTGCCTCTGTAGACATGCTGTTATAAAGTATGTATTACAGAAATAGCTGCCAGGTTAAGTGATTAAGCATGCATTCAAATGTTGCTACCTGGTGCACCAAAAGCTCAGCCACCTCCACGTGGTTGTTGAGGGCGGCCAGGTGCAGTGCAGTATAACCGTCGTCCTTCTTCTCGTCTACGATCCAAGGCCTCGGCAGTTTGGATAACAGCACACGCATGGCACTGCACAGAGGAGGAGGAGGAGGAAGACAAGGGAGGGAGAGAAGTCAGTGCTTTGCTAGATTCTGGGCTTTGGTGCATGAGAAGACAAAAAATCCTTCAAAAAGTCAGGACAATCAAGTTATTTTGGTATAAATTTTCTGATGTAATCAAAAACCTATCTATGACTCTCAGTCACTGTGCCGTACACGTCACAGTGACTGTGCCACTTATACACAGCACACTCCAATACACAGCTTTTCTTTTTGCAGCAAGGCATATCCCATTTTCACACATGGCGACAAGAATACTAAATCAACTTAGGGAGGAGTTGCTTTACCAAGCACAGTGTTATTTACATCAAGCTTTGAGCAGTGCAAGTGCTGCGTCTTATCTGAGAGTGTCCGTCCCCCCTACAGACTCTTGATTTAAAAAGGGCGGTCACATTTCCCTTGATGATGCGCAAAAGCGCATATCATTGGAAGGCAACTTGGTAATCAAGATTTAGCTGCATTCACTCAGGTCTCCTCCTGGGGAAGAAACCGACGAGGTGGGAAGGGAGAAACATCTATTGTTTAAACAGAGCTGTTAAACAGAAGTGGTCCCGTGTGTCGACAAGAACCGGTTCAGTGTCACTGAAGGTCATTTAGAGGATGTGTGCCACATAGACATGTGGCTGCAAAGGCAAATGTATGAGAGGAGTCACAGTGTCAGAGGAGGGATGAAAAGAAAAAAAAAGAAAGAAAGAAAAGAAAGGCCGACAGTGTCATTAAAGAAAGACAGAACGGCACATACATATTTCCATTGTTTATTAACTACAAAGGCACGAGAACATTAAAGTCAGAGAATGGAAATCTACGCTGAAGTCAAAATATGTAGATTTTACTTAAAAAGTTGTAATTAACAGTGTTGTAATTAAATGTCTTAGTGGCCTTCTTCCAATTAAACAAAGCAGAATTCACAGTATGGCAGTTTTACTTAAATATGTATTTCACCTCATTCATTATCTCTCTGTTCTTGACCCTAACTTCGTTCCTGCTCTAGCCCATGGGCATACAGAAGAGAGAAATACTAAATGCTCAAATGAGACACATTCCCGCTTTTAATGTGCAAACAGTGCATCAACTCACTTTGTTCACATACAAAGAAATATAAAACAACATTTAGAAAAGCACATCCCTGAACTCTTCTTGTATCTTCTCTGTAGATAGGTACACAGTGTACCTTCAGGCACCATTAAGGCAGCAGCAGCAGTGCTGGGGGGAACACTTCTGACCTTGTTTAACCCTGAATACGCATGCAGGGCATTTCTTTAAAATGCGACAAAAAAGAAACGGCCAGTTCGGCTCTGGCTCTTTGATACAACTGACCAGCGTGCACTGGGGTGCTTAAGATAAGCAGGATCTCAAACAGTAAAATGAGGCAGTGGGTTTGGGCACAGGGCAGGAAAGGCCACAGTCGACACTGGTCAGTGAAAATGCTCAACTGTTCGAAATAAAACTATAATCTAGCAAGCTTTTGGTCTAAATGGGAACAGGATGGCTGGCTCTCTGCGGGTGCTTTTTTGCTAAACCTATAGCTCGCCTCCCTCCCACTGGAATAATGAAAGAGAGCATCATCAGCACACCCTCTTGAGGAAAGCAGAGAGGCACGGGGCAGGCAGTCAGCACCTCTGTACGGACAGAGATTCAGGGCTGGCGTACTGCTGCAGTGATGAACAGCGCAGCACACTGATCCCAGTCTCCCTTGCTCTTTTGCTCACTCTCTCTCTCTCCCTCTCATTGCACAGACCCACACACACACACACACACCTGCATTGCTTGCAGCCATCTTCAACCACTTAATGCAGAGGAGCACTGCTTAAATGTGATAGCAACCGCACCCATTCTGCCTAATCTCACATTCATAACGTGTCCCCTTTGTTACAAAGACGTATTTGCTTACATACTGTAGATTTTACATCTCATAGGGGACTTCTAAAGGAATTTCATCCGTGGCCCACCCGCTGGGTAGGAGTTGAGGCTTAAACAAGCAAATCATTCAAGAAAAGATTTTGCCACATAAGGTTATCGCCTGAAGCTGCAACGCAAAACTTGTTCCCAGTGGTTCAAAACAACACTCGTTTAGCCTTGGCGAAGAATTGGCTACATAGGGACACGCTGCATTTTTTTTAAACCACAAGTTCCCACCAGAATAAAGGGCAAAACTGTCCCACATGAAGCCCCCGTTCTTACCAATTTTCTCACTCCTACTGGCAGAACATTCGCACATCTGGATTGGCTGGAAATATCCACCATCTATGGAAAAACCGGCCAATGAACGCACACCGGCTTTAATACAAGGGCACAGTGGCGCCTTCTAGCGTCCGAATCACGCGCTTGAGCACTGAGGCAGGTGTTCGCTGGCGTAAGGAGCCACTCCAATATAAGTCTAGATTGACAGGCTCCCCTGCCACGCTGGGTGAAATGGGCAGACATTAATATTAATGCCCCATACTAGCACTGCTGCAATGCAGTTAAGCTATTTGCTGTAAAAGCAGAAAAAAAGACTGAATTAAGAACTGAGAAATAAATTTAAGTTGTGTTTTTATCTCTGGGGTGAGTGGTGTTAGCTGCAACTGAGGGGAGTATAGGAGAAACTGCGTGTTAGCTGATGAGGTCGGACGTTGAGAGGAAGAAAAGAGGAGAAAAGAGCGATTCTGACCAGCCCAGGCTGCAGAGGTTTTACTGAGCAGAAGAATGACTTGACCTGGGAGCTAACATTCACATAATTGAGATAACTGATGACTGAACCTTATAAAATAATGCTAGGGTGAATATGGAAAAGGGTATGCTAGCATATAGGGGATAAGGGGGTACGTCATGAAACTGGGTCACCCTGTGAGAGATCTCAAAGAGCCCCTCAGGAACGCCACACTGGGTCTTGTTGTCTTTGGCTGCTATTTGTCATTGACTGTGACTCTGATGCCCTCAGCTTTGTGTGTGTTGGCATTTGTCATTGCATGTAAGACAGTGTGTGTGCTCGCAATTGCTGGTGTGAGTGTGAGGGTCGACAGGGCCCTTCTGCTGCCCTCGCCTGGCTGACAGCCATCTGTGTGGTGGTCAGTAGCCGTTATTACAACAGGAAGTGAGAGTCAGGGGACAATAACGTGGGTAGGACAGGGCAGAACAGGAACAGTCAACATCCAGTCTAAGATTAATGGCTGCGCACAAACATATGGTTACTCTGATGTGGGAGACGTGTTTGGCATACCGTCACTCGTTAAATAAGGCTTCGAGCCTAAGAAAAAGATCCCAATTCTGCATCGGAAATGAGTCACCAAAAGGTGCCACCTGCTTCAAGAAAATAAAATTGCTTTATGCAGCCATTAATGAAAATGCTCAGTCTCGCAAATCTTACAGTGTTTATATGGTTGAAACGTACAGATCCAAAGAATATGGCTGCAAAAACCCAGTACCTTCACCAAAGCTTCTGTATCAAAGGTAATTCTTGGCCTTAAAATAAAATCCCAGCAAAAACTCTTCTTCTGCAAAGCTTCCAACAGTTTCAGGGACACAAATAGATCTGTTTTTATCCATATCAGGTAAAGGAAATTTAATGGATTGTATGACAACGGAGCAAACTGCACCTGCCAATCAAGACCATGTAATACAGCTGTAAAGCGTTTGGAAAAAGCAGATAAGCAAACCTTTGGCTCAATGTATTTTGTCAAAAAAAAAAAAAAAAAAAAAATGTTATTTGCCCAGCCTTTTTTAAACCGCCTCAACAGAGCTGAACTGGTAGCATTCCTTTCTACCTTACAGTAGGATTCTTTCCCCCTCCCAGGTCCTTCTTGGAACAGCCTTTCCAGAAGAGGCAAGTTCAGACGATACATGAGGTGTCAGCTCATTGAGGACTGGATCAATATATTCCGGTCCTTTGAAATAGTGGACCCACTACCTGACAAATCATTCACAGCTGCAGCACACTACCGCTGAAATGGAAAACCCACTTCTCCCCTTCCCACTCCGAGCAGGGAGGTGCTCTTCATCATGTGTGAGGCTCGATCCCCCCAACTCACCAGCAGCTGGTAGGGGGAAGAGTCATAAAACCGCTTCAGTGATGTTAAAACATGCTTACCGAAGGAGACTGCTTGACTGGTATGCTGCATGCTTCTAATGCCTTGTGTGTGTGCACATATGTGCGCAACTTCAATTACAGTAATTCAAGTAGCTGATATTCTTAATGCAAATATAACCCTCAGAGTTCATCGCGGGCACTGCCACACCCCTAGATGCAATTAGTTACAAGTTCACTTTGTCATGACCATCCCACAGGTATGTGCCATCCTGCTGTGGACAGAGTAAATAAACACAAGTAGCGTCCAGACCAGCAGTGCAGCAGAGAGCTGGGGACAAGAACCTAACTGGCTCCGCTCGATAAAAAAAGCTTTCATTACCATGCCGTGAAGAGAATAATTTTCCCCACAATGTGACCTTCCCCTGCCTGCCTCTACCTGAGGCCCCTGAGTGAGCATGCTTTTATTACGGACTATTTGCATAAACCAGGAAGGAAAGGGGTGCATTTCTCTGATGTTTTGATTATCGCTATAGTATTGCCGCTGCCTTGAAGGTTGTCCAGGAGACAAGAGATGCATTTTGAAACATCTCCAATTCAGTTTTCTGTCCATTTGGGCAGTAGGTGTGGTCTATAAAGGCTTAGCTTTAATTAGCCGTAAATCACCTGGTGATACGGAGTGCCCTGATTCATGGCAAGTCATGAAAAAGGAAAAAAAAAAAAAAAAAGGGACAGCAAGACAGTCAGAGAAGCCCAATGGCGCGTTAATATCCCATTGGTTCGAGATGACCCAATTATTTTCCCATGCTCCTCTTCCTTTGCACTTCATTCTCCTCAGCACCTTGAAAAAGCCTCATTTTCATTGCTGCACAAGCCATAATAGTCATAATACACATCCTTTTACTTAACAAGGGAAGAATGACATAAAAGAAGGAGCAAGGACATGCAGATTATATTAGACTAAAGAG